AAAATGAAATCTTGACTTTTTAATTTCTTGATGAATAAGTTTCATATTTCGACATGTTTTGATGAATTATGACCTTTGGCACTTGAATTTTGATCAAAAAGTCAAAGTTTGACTTTTCAGTATACAGTTGACTTTTAATCAGTTGACTGAAAAATTCATTTGTCAATCCAATGGACTTGCAATGTTTTGAACTATGTCATTAGGTAAAAATGATGCAATTGGACTCTTGAGATCATGCCTTAAATCAATTGACCATTTTCTAGGTCAAAAATCAGAAATTGCCATTTCCCAATCAAAACCCTAATTTTGACCATTTTGCCCTTTTGGAGATTTGATCAAATTTCTTGAGGAGTTGTGGTCCAAATTTGATCAAATGATACATGTGAGTCTAAAATGTTGATGTGGATAAAAAATTATGAAATTTGACTGTAAATTGGCCATGGTTGACTTTTTCCCAAAATAGCTGATTTTTAGGTCAACTGCTCAATTGACTGAGCAAAAGTGTGGTCCAAGGCTTGAAACTTGACATGAGTGATCTTGATGGTCCATAATGATCCGTGAAATTCCTATGGGGTATTGGAAGTTCAAATAACCTTGTTCAATCTCAAACCCTAATTTTGGTCATCAGTGCTTAAGGAGGTTGTCTTGAGCTGATCAAACCCTAGTGCAGTCTTGAACCCAAGGGGATCTTTGTGAGAAAATTCTTGATAAGTGAGAGAGAAAATTTTAGGGTACAATATCTACCCCTGTTCAATCTTCTTAAGCCTAAAGAGTTAGATTGGCTAGTTTTGCCATTCGTGACTCGAAGGTGGAAGATGATTAGACATTAGAGTGCCCAGAAATTTGCACTCGGTGATGTGATGGTAGAGGGAATGGGCTTAAAGATGCCATTTGGAGGGATGATGGGAAGTTATTGTAGATGGACTTGTAGATGCCATCCATAAATGATTGTTGAATCATATTTGTAAGCTGAAACTGAAAGAGTATCAGAATGGCGTCCGTGTCTGGAGCGTATCTGAACCGTATCTGAAAACTGAAAGCTGAATGAGTATCAGGATGGAATCCGTGTCTGGAGCATATTTGAATTGTATCTGAAAGCTGTGTCTGAATGAGTATCATAATGGCACCCGTTTTTGGAGCGTATCTGAATTATATCTGAAAGCTGAGTCTGAATGAGTATCAGAATGGTATCCGTCTCTAGAGCGTATCTGAACTGTATCAGAAAGCTGAGTCTGAATGAGTATCAGAATGACATCTGTGTCTGGAGCGTATCTGAATTGTATCTGAGAAGTTAAATTTGAATGAGTATCAGAATGACATCCGTGTCTGGAGCGTATTTGAACTGTATCTGAAAGTTTTGAACATTTATTAATGGTAGTTGTTAACCTTATCCTGAAAAGGGTAAAACGTTAGCTGAAATGCAAAGTTATGTTGTATGAAATGCATGGTATAATGCATTCGTGTTATCAATGTTTATGATATATGGATGCGATGTATGCGTATGTGAGCTAGTCTGCTACACTGTTGTTGGATTGGGGAAAATAAATCCCTGACTGCTGCTGAGGATATGGAGTATAAGTCTTCATGTTGTGAAGTCTAAGTGTTGATGAATTTTTGCTTGGAGAAATAAACTATGTTTGTAAGGGATATGGGTTTTTAAGCAAAAGCTAATGCAAGATGGATCAATTGGCAAACACAAAGCAAGATTCGTAGCAAGAGGTTTTCTACAGAATCCTAGATTGGATTACTCTAAAGTGTTTGCACCTGTAGTGAGACATGAAATAATCTGATTAATGATTGTAATAGCTGCTAACAAGAATTGGTCTTTGATGCATTTAAATGTAAAATTTGTATTTCTGAATGGTCCATTACAAGAAGAGGTATACGTGTCACAACCTCTTGGATTTGAGAAAAAGAATCAGGAAGGAATGATGTTTAAATTACACAAAGCCTTGTATGAATTGAAGCAAGCGCCCAGAGCCTGAAATCTGAAGATTGATTCAGTTTTTAAGGAATAGGGGTTTCAGAAGTGAGAGATGGAGTATGGTGTTTATGTTCAACACACTTCATAACGTAATATGATTCTGATATGTTTGTATGTTGATGACATATTGCTAACAGGAAGTTCTGAACAAGAGATAGCCAAGTCCAAGAAGGTTCTGATGAATGAGTTTGAGATGATAGATCTTGGAAAAATGAGTTACTTTTAGGGGTAGAGTTTATATGAAGGGAACTCTGAAGTATGGAGTGTTATTTCCTTCTGAAAGAAAGACCAAATTAGAACTTCTGAGTTATTCAGACTCTGATTGGTGTGGAGACATAGTTGACAGAAGAAGTACTTTTGGATACTTATTCAAATTTCTGGGAGGTCCTATTTCTTGGTGTTCCAAGAAGCAACTTGTTGTTGCGTTGTCAACCTGAGAAGCTGAATATATTGCATGCGCTCTGACTGCATGCCAATCTGTATGGATTCTGAATTTGCTGCAAGATCTGAAGATTGAGGTAAACAAGCCTCTGAAGCTGATGATTGATAACAAGTCTGCAATCAATCTTGCCAAGAACTTGATGCTGCATGGGAGAAGCAAGCATATTGAGATCAAGTATCACTTTCAGAGAAATCGGGTTCAGAGTAGAATATTAGAAGTTGTGCACTGTAGCACCCAGAAGCAGTCGGTGGACGTTCTAACAAAGGCTATCAAGACTGATCAATTTTTTTGTTTGAGGGATGAAATTGATGTTGTCAGTTTTGTGTAAATATAAATTAAGGGATGGTGTTGGAAATAATTTATATTTTAGGAATGTCTTAATGACTAAGTTTGTTAGAGGGTATTTTAGTATTTTATTATATCCTAATTTTGTGTATAAATAACCTAGTAATATGTCAATGTAATTATTCATTGCTTCTTATCTTGTAGTCGTCATTCAATATATTTCTTTTATCTTCCATTTCTCCTTGTGCACCAATAATTATGACTGAATTTGGAAAATTATATGTTTAATATTTTTAATCCAAAACACAAACAATTGTTTACCAAAAAAACACACAATTAAGTTAACTAATTATTTATAAGTACAATGTAGCTTTTTTTGTTGAGAGAAATCTATTACTTATTCCTATTAAAATGTACATTCTCTAGACATATTTATAAATAAATAAATAATAATTTAAATTTATTAAAAAAATTATTACTTTTTATGTTGATTGACTTTATTAGTCCCCAGACTGATCCATTATTAATTTTACGCAAATAACTGACATTACAGTACACCAATTCCTTTGAACTTGTAGTTGGAGGAAATATCTAACCTTAAAAAGCCTAAACAAACAATTGGATCATTAAAGTAGCCCTAATGCCTGGTAAGGAAACTTTCAATACTTGTTTTTAATATGCCATTTTTCCATTTTCAAGTATCATAGTTTTTTCTTAACAAAAGAAGAATACAGCATGGAAAGTAAATATTTATCAAAAAATAAAGATCTTCGAAACAAAATATTTACCCTTTACATGATTCAAGGGGCACCTATTTGCATTGTAAACCACTGTGTACAAATAATTGAGTGGACCAACATAGCTATTACCTAATCCAATCTAAGAACATGTAGATGGAGGGAAATAAAATTCAATTACCGAAAGGCACTTTTCTTCTCTACAAAAATTAAAAGTAACCTTACCCTACAAAAAATGTCCTACTATATAAAAAGCTACATGTCTACATTACCATATTTTATTTTATGTTTTTTCTAATAATTTAATTTTGTTTTTATAAATATAAATACAACTCATCAACGTGTCAGTCATGGTCTACTAATAATACCTTCTATTTCCAGTGGGTCATTCACAGATCACATAGGTTATGATCTTCTTAGTTCTTATCACAGTCATTATATTATGTTTAATCATGTCATTAGAGTTGTACTAGATTATTAATTATTAATTTCTTGTGTTACGCCACTATAACAAACAATTAACAGTACATCATTTTATTTTATATCCACAAGATAATCATTAACAACGCTATTGCTATAATCATGCAAGTCTTAAAAAGTAAATGAAATGTGTAGTAGGTGCCAGTGCCATTACTCTTCGAACAATCTACACAACAAAAACAGAAGAAAAATTTACCACTAATTAAGGAGTGACGTGGCTCTTATCCATATGTGACACATGTCAGTACAAGAAAGGTTGCTTTGCTGTACTTGAGAGCAAAAGCCAACGACTGGTGATAAGGATACATATATAAAAATAATAATTGAAGTAAAAAATAAAAATTACTTAATTAAATTACAAAACTTTATTATAGATAAATGTATTATATGTTCAGTCAATTTTCGCTAAAATCTATCCTGTCTCTGTAAGGTGTTGCAAATAAATTCAGTCAATTTTCGCTAAAATCTATCTTGACCGGCTCTTATTCTTTTACTTTCTTAGTATTATTTATAAAATAACCTAATTTTTGGAAAAATAAAATGAAATAAATTTTAATTATAAATAATTTATTTTTAAAATGAGAATAAAGATAATACAATAATAATAAAAAATAATTTTGTATTATTATTTAATAAAAATTTATCAATCAATTATATTATTTAATAAAAATATCAAAATAATTTAATAAAATATAATGTTTAATAATAAGATTTATTTAACGGTGTCAAATTATTTTATGTATATATTTTTTTTATATAATTAAAAATGATAACATGTCATACAGCTTGTCATCAAGTTAGTAGTGTTTCTTTTTTGGCTTGGAATTTTTAAAATTTGAGATTCCTCCCAATTTTGGAGGTATTATTATAAATAAATTTGGAATTTTGAAATAATTTTCAACCGGTAACCGGTTAAACCCGTGAAACTGAAGGCCGGTCGTTCTCCCTATAATAACACACAAGCAAGCAGAAGCGAAAGCAATCCGAAGCGAAAACAAGAAAGCGCTTACAGTAACAGAGAAAGTGAGTGTTTATTCCGATTCTTCATCGGTGATAAAACGCGATTCTAACCATGCCGATCAGAAACATCGCCGTCGGAACTCCTCAAGAGGCCTATCACCCAGACACCTTGAAAGCCGGTTTGGCTGAGTTCATCTCCACCTTCATCTTCGTCTTCGCCGGTTCAGGGTCCGGTATCGCATACAACAAGCTTACCGACAACGGTGCCGCCACTCCCGCCGGTCTCATCGCTGCTTCCATAGCTCACGCATTCGCTCTCTTTGTTGCTGTCTCCGTCGGTGCTAACATCTCCGGTGGACACGTCAACCCCGCCGTCACCTTCGGTGCTTTCGTTGGTGGAAACATCACCTTACTCCGTGGTATCGTTTACATCATCGCTCAACTCCTCGGATCCATCGTCGCCTCCGCACTCCTCGTGTTCGTCACCGCATCGGTATGATTGATAATTTCTTACATCTAGATATATAAAGTTAGTTATAGAAGTTAGTTATTTCTTCAAAATACAGTTATAAAATACAATAAATTTGTTTGTTATAATTAGAGTTTTGTTACGGTGTATCGCAGTCTGTTCCAGCATTCGGTCTATCCGCAGGAGTAGGAGTGGGTCCCGCTTTGGTGTTGGAGATTGTGATGACTTTCGGTTTGGTGTACACTGTGTATGCTACAGCCGTTGACCCAAAGAAGGGTAATATTGGAATTATCGCACCTATTGCTATTGGTTTCATCGTTGGTGCTAACATTTTGGTTGGAGGAGCCTTTACCGGAGCATCCATGAACCCCGCCGTGTCATTCGGGCCTGCCGTTGTGAGCTGGAGCTGGGCCAACCACTGGATCTACTGGGCCGGCCCACTTATCGGTGGTGGGATTGCTGGGCTTGTCTATGAGGTTCTTTTCATTAACGGCACCCATGAGCAGCTTCCAACCACTGACTACTAGATGGGAAATGGAAAAATGGAAATGAAATTTGAAATTGTGTATTATTGAATTTTCTTCTGTGTGTTTTTGTTTTCTTGTGTACTTTAATTTATCACTATTTGGAGGGATGTTTCTTTTGTGTTGAAAAATGGTGGCCGTTGATGTTTGGTTGTACGGTTCGTGATGATGAATGGTTAAATTATTTTGTACATGTATGGCCTAGTAGGTTCTTTGTAGGGTCCACCACTAAATCAATGTTATCATTTCAGGTCTGGTTGGTTCTATCATTCAACTTCTTTGTTTTCTTTCCCTTCAATTTTTTCTTACCATAGTTAATATCATTCTCATTTTGTTTGAATGATAACGTTGGATTTATGTTTTAATATTTTGAATTTAAAATTTTTTCAAGTCTCGTATTCTTAAAAGAATTTCATTTTAAACATTGACAATGAAAATAAAGTTTTTCTTAAACATTTCAATGAATCTAGATTTACAATATAGATAACTAAAGGAAGGAATTTCTTTACAAAAAGAGAATGATTATAATAATCTGAATCGACTCGCAAAAGAGAATGATTATAACAATCTGAATCGATTCGCAAATGATCTATATGATTATTGGAGTAACTGCGATACATTAAAATATATTTATAATGTTCTGTAAAATAAGTATGACATTGAAGTTGTAGCAAAGAAGTATATTGTTAGTCGCTATTTCAAGTATTAAATGACAAAGATGAAAGATTGATGGAGGCTCAATGTTACGAATTTTAAAAGATTACTTATAATATCTTCACAAAAGGTATGTGTTTAAATTAACAATTTTAAATTATTTTTATTATCGACAAACTACTCTAAAATTTGAATGTTTTAAAAAAACTTTACCTCGTCACAAAACAAAAGAATTTTTTTATTGAGAATCTAATTATTCGCCTTGAGTTTTAAAAAAAAAAGGAATCTTAGAGATAATATAAAAAAAAGTCTTGACTATTTCAAACAATAAAAAAAAATTTGGTGTAGTTCTGAAATGATTTAGCAAGAATTGAGAATGAGAACCTTTCTATGATCTTGATTTTATCCAACTAAGCAACCACCACCACTTCAAAGAAATGACGTTGGTTTCTTTTTATTTTTAACTATGAAAAATTAAGTTATATGACTAAGAAATATAGAAGGTGTATTTCTAGACCGATATCTAGGTACAAGTAATAATGATACAATATAAAATTGAGTTGTTTTATCCTGAAGGCGACACTGTAATTCAAGTGCTTTACATATTTTTAGACAATCCCACAAAACATCTTATAGATAGCAAATCAATCCGCGAGTCAACCTGATAATTTTTGTTAGTAGTTGAATTTTTAAAACCATGAAATAACACACTTAGATTAATCATAATGAAAAAATGAACCTTGTAGAAGAAAAAAGAAAGTTAAATAATGATGCTACATGACAATGAGTTTTGTTAAGTGAGGGAATCGCTTGGGCATATGCCACAAAAGGGACCCATATAGATGAATTAAATAAGAAACTTTTGTGTACTATAAGGTTAATGCGGGGCCAGAAATGAACTAGAAAACCAATAGTGATTAATTATTAGAAATACATTATACAATAATATTAATATTAATATTAATATTTAATAACACATATATCGAGCGTCCATAGGATCATTATTCCGTCCAAATGTGACTAACTGCACTTCACTTATACAATAATATTAATATTTAATAACACATTCATCTAATTAATTAGAATGATTCTTTCGACATAAAAAAAGAAAATAAAAATGACATCTAAAATAACAATCAATTCAATTAGCACTCTAAGTGTATTAAACTCTAATGAATGATTGTTTAACTTTGGCACTAAATAGTGAATTCAAGGAAGTTAACTTTAACAAGGAAATACAAATTCCTATGATGCTAAGAGCCAAGCTCCTATATAGAGGAAACAGATGCCGACTTTCTAAAAAATAACCAACAAAATCATCCTATCTTTCACATAATCTCTCCCTTACATAGAGCACTCTCCCTTTCTCACGTTCATACTATTACAAGTGTTGCCAAATACATTTGTTGCTAGTATATCACTCTTTTGTCTTTCTTATCCTTCCTCTCATATAATTTCTAAATGTTTAGCTTATTATTACACCACTATCTAAGCCCAATTCTCTATCAATTTTACACAAATTAAGAAATTATAATAAATGAGAGAGAAATATGATATTGAAAATAATCATTTGTGAAATGGAAATTTGTAATATTTTTAATTTGAATTATTTTTATTTTTTTTGGATTTTAGTGATGGATTATGAGTTCAGTCATGAATCTTTATCTTTTGCGACATTTTAAGTGATAGATTTTTGGTTTCAGCCATAAATATTCATCTTTTGTGATGATTTTAGTGTCTGCTATATATTTCATTTTTTGTGACGGACTTTGAATCCAATCTATTACTCTATATTTAATTTATTAATATAATATGATCAGAAGTGTTACCTCATATGTCACATCAATTCTTTACCATGATATCATGTCACGTGATGTGCTACGTCATCTCTGTCAACTTCTTTTCCATCAATTTCCTGTGGATTGAGTTTCTCTATGGTCAGGCAACAAGGTTATACCTTAAATATATGCATATTAGGTCAGTCACTAGAGTACAACACAGTGACATGTTAAGGCCACTCATTTTTTCTCTTGTGTTACACCCACTTATTCATCAAATTGTAATAATTGTAAGCTTCTTCTTCATGCCTGATACCTTGATGATGAGACCATTATAGGGGATTCAGAGGAGGTGGTTAAAGCCCTTGACATAAAATTGAGATCTTTTTGCCTTTGTGCAATCATAGTAAACTTTGTTGGGAGTTATTTCCTTCAGACATTGGGAGATCTATGTTGGAGATGAAGTTGCTTGAAGGGGATGTTAGTCGAGATGAAGGCTTTATCAAGGGGTTGTTTATGAAGAGAGCAGCCATGGCTGTTGAGCACATGCATCTTCGGCTACAATAAAGGGATCCTTATAGTGAGCTTCTTCTACTTCGTTCTTGCATGAGTATTACCAAACTTTTTGTTGGCCTTAGAATGTGTCAACCTAATCATATAGAGAAAATAACTATTTGGTTTGATAAAGAGTTGTGAAGGTCGGCTGAAGACATTATGGTTGGTGGAGGTCCTTTCTTCGAAACCCTTCGCTAGAAGATGACTTATTTACCGATTAGAGTTGAAGAATTTGGTTTATACTTGGCACTAAGTTTGTCAAACTCGCGAGTCTACTCAGACTCGTAAATGGTCTGTAGACTCGACTCGCAAACTCACATGAGTCTATAGAAAAATTAAAAATAACTTTCAAAAACTTACAAGTGACACATATATGCCACACACATATATTTTTAAATCTCTAAATGGCTTATATATGACACAAATATATATAATAGAACATCAATTAACATCAAAATTTAAATCTCATACTCTATAATAAATTTCTTAACAAAAAAACTCGATAATAAAACAAACAAAATAGTAAAGTATGTAGTTAAAAACTTAAAGTACTAACTTCTTCTTAATTGGCTGGTGGATATTACATAAAGCAAAAAAAAAACATAAAACTGATATGCCAAAGGCTTCAAACATCCAAAGCTCCAGTGAAATCATCACCTCCAAAATCATCACCATTACTTCCATCGGTTGTCATACCCCAAATTTTCTCCATCAATAAAACAGTCATATCATTTCAATGTTACTATTTTTCTAAATTTCTAGATCGTGTCGTTCAATTTGTTTATTTTGAGTATTATTGTTATGGGAAATTTAAATTCATAAGAGGGGTGTTTGCTTCAAAATCGACCATTAAAACCTGATGACCCATTAAGGATTTGCGACTCATTTTGAACAATAATGAAAAGATGTGTGTTTAGAATTAATAGCTCATTAAGTTATTTAGAGGCCCTTTAAAGAATAAGAGAGGGGTATATCTTTGGTGGGTTGCATCATTTTTTAACAGATTGACCCATTACGGTTTGAAGCTCGTTTGTTGGCAAGAGGGTGTACGATTATTGCTTTAGTTTGCAGCGGGTTGGCCCATTAGAGTGTTAAGCCCAGTTTGGAGAAATATTCGACTAAAGTCAACATTAGGCTCTGATTATTTTCCTTTTTTATTATTAGTTATATTATGTAACAAATATTATTATTATTATTATTTGTTTTATAAAATAATTATTTTATTTTAGAAACAAATTTTGGACGGGGTTGACTAAGTTAACCGAGGGTTTTGAAACCCTAATTTTGCATCCTGCAACGATGCATTCTCCTATTCTTCTTCCTCGCTAAGATTTCAAGGTCTAGATCCAGAAACACAAAGATTGAAAAACATCAAAACATAATCAAACAATAACGAATCAAATATCACAAAATCCATTTTTATTTAATTTACAGTACATAACTAATTTACAAACGCAACCAGATCTTAATCAAATTTGAACAAAATTTCTAATTTACAAACGGATCTCAATCAAGCCTTAATCAATAATCAATCTAAGATTGTAACTGCAAATTAACCTAACAATTTTCCTAAAATATTCTAATCTAAAACCTATAAATAGTGTCCTAAAAATTTTGAGGAGAAAATATGGGGAAGAACTGAAGAACAAAAGAAGGAGAAAAGTGATATGGGTTTCAATTTCTGAAACCCTAGATCTGAGTCCCTGCCGCTGCTGTATCCTTCATCTCTATAACATGCAAATCAAAGAGGAAGAACATAATCAACATCAAAGAGAGACAGAGGAATCGAAAAGCAATTTCACAGCGAGGTAACACTTAGCTTATGTTGTTGTTGTGATTTTGGGGTCGATATATGTCGTGGGTTTATGGTCGTTGCCGTTTGAGATCGCCACTGCCGGAGAATTTGGTTTAGAGTTGGTGTTGGGTTATTCTGTGCAGAGAACGAAAGAGAGAAAGAAAAACAAAGGGAAGATAGAGAGAATGAATGAATGAAAATGAAAAAGGAATGTGAGAAAA